TCGAATTGCTACAAAGAAACCACTACTAAAGGACACCAATAAGAAGAAGAGACTGGCTTGGGCCAAGAAACACGAGCAATGGACATTAGACCGGTGGAAATCTGTCCTTTGGTCTGATGACTCAAATTTGAGATTTTTGGTTCCAACCGCCGTGTCTTTGTGAGACGTGGTGTGGGTGAACAGATCATCTCCGCATGTGTAGTTCTCACCGTAAAGCATGGAGGAGGAGGTGTTATGGTGTGGGGTGCTTTGCTGGTGACACTGTCTGTGATTTATTTAGAATTCAAGGCACACTTAACCAGCATGGCTACCACATCATTCTGCAGCGACATGCCATCCCATCTGGTTTAGGTTTAGTGGGACTATCATTTGGTTTTCAACAGGACAATGACCCAACACACCTCCAAGCTGTGTAAGGGCTATTTTACCAAGAAGGAGAGTGATGGAGTGCTGCATCAGATGACCTGGCCTCCACAATCCCCCGACCTCAACCAATTTGAGATGGTTTGGGATGAGTCGGACGGCAGAGTTAAGGAAAAGCAGCCAACAAGTGCTCAGCATATGTGGGAACTCCTTCAAGACTGTTGGAAAATAATTCCAGGTGAAGCTGGTTGAGAGAATGCCAAGAGTGTGCAAAGCTGTCATCAAGGCAACGGGTGGCTATTTGATGAATCTCAAATATAAAATATATTGTTTAAAATATTTTGGGTTGCTGCATGATTCTATATGTGTTACTTCACATTTTTGAAATCTTCACTATTATCCTACAATGTAGAAAATAGTAAAAATAAAGAAAACCCTTGAATGAGTAGGTGTGTCCAAACTTTTGACTGGTACTGTATATACAAAAGTATGTGGACACACCTTCAAATGAGTGGATTCGTCTATTTCAGCCACACCCGCTGCTGACAGATGTATAAAATCGAGCACACAGCCATCCAATGTCCATAAACAAACATTGGCTGTAGAATGGCCTTAATGAAGAGCTCAGTGACCTTCAGTTCATCAAATTTCTGCCCTGCTAGAGCTGCCCCGGTCAACTGTAAGTGCTGTTATTGTGAAGTGGAAACGTCTAGGAGCAACAACGGCTCAGCCGCGAAGTTATAGGCCACACAAGCTCACAGAACGGGATCACCGAGTGCTGAAGCACATGGCGTGTAAAAATCGTCTGTCCTCGGTTGTAACACTCACAACCGAGTTCCAAGCTGCCTCTGGAAGCAACATCAGCGCAAGAACGGTTCATCAGGAGCTTCATGAAATGGGTTTCCATGGACGAGTAGCCGCACATAGGCCTAAGATCTCCATGCTTAATGTCAAGCATCGGCTGGAGTGGTGTAAAGCTTGCCGCCATTGGACTCTGGAGCAGTGGAAACGCGTTCTCTGGAGTGATCAATCACACTTCACCATCTGGCAGTCCGACGGATAAATCTGGGTTTGGCAGATGCCTGGAGAATGCTACCTGCCCCAATGCATAGTGCCAACTGTAAAGTTTGGTGGATGAGAAATAATGGTCTGGTGCTGTTTTTCATGGGGCTAGGCCCCTTTGTTCCAGTGAAGAGAAATTCTACAGCATACAATGACATTCTAGATGATTCTGTGCTTCCACCTTTGTGGCAACAGTTTGGGGAAGGCCCTTTCCTGTTTCAGCATGACAATGCCCCCGTGCACAAAGCGAGGTCCATACAGAAACGGTTTGTCGAGATGGGTGTGAAAGAACTTGACTGGCCTGCACAGAGCCTTGACCTCAACCCCATCAAACACCTTCGGGATTAATTGGAACGCCGACTGCAAGCCAGGCCTAATCGCCCAACATCAGTGCCCAACCTCACTATTGCTCTTGTGGCTGAATGGAAGCAAGTCCCCGCAGCAATGTTCCAACATCTAGTGGAAAGCCTTCCCAGAAGAGTGGAGGCTGTTATAGCAGCAAAGGGGGGACAAACTCAATATTAATGCCCATGATTTTGGAATGAGATGTCCGTCGAGCATACAAAGGTATGCTCGACGGGGAATAGATGTGAATTGTTATACATTGGGCTACCTGCATATTATATATTATCATATTCTTAGTCTTGGTGACAATGTTTGTATAGACATACTGTAAGCAGCTGATTCTCATTTGCATGGAAAGCAGAAAGATCTCCGGCCCACTGAGTTTATCATTTTAATTTGCAGACACTGAGCCCTGGATCCAGGGATTTGATTCACAGGCTTGTATCTGATTGAAAACTATGACTCATGAAAGCAAGGCTGTGGGAGTTACAGAGTAGATTGACAAAGAGTCAAGTTTAAACCCAGCCAGCAGGAGACTCCACACACTTGCCCCATCGCTCTCTCCCTTCACATGGTCATCCACTCCCCCTCCTTTCCTCTTTGGTTTCTCACCCTTTCCTTCCTCCGTCCTTCCCTTCCTCTGTAGTCTCTGTAAAAGTGCCCTGTCCCACAGCCAAAATGCTCATTCAGTCTGCACCAGCCTGCCATTACACCTGAGAATACAGTCCATTCAGTCTGCTGGAGGGAGGCATTACACCTGAGAATACCTGCCTGGGACCTGGGACCCACCTGGGAATAGCTACCTGTGCCTGTGCTTGGATCTCACCTGAAAATACGTTCCAGCCTCTCCTCTGTGAATGCTGACCTGCAGCTCGCCCGAGAGCCGATGGATTACAAAGCAGATTCTTAATGTGAATGGGACATCCAAGCCAGAGGACTATACCAGGATATGTATGTTTAAGTAGCAGGGACAAAGCCTTGATCATGAGATGATACCCTGCTCCTCCAGGTGTGAGCCAGCTATCACCACGACCACCACAGTGAGTACTGGGCTTTGACCACTCACTACCATAGAGTCTGACTACAGTATTGTTCAGAAATTGCCTTTAGTGGTGATGAAGGGTTACGGTCTGTGCTTGAAAGTGAATTTTAGTGGAATGGTCTCTCTCTCTCTTTCTTTTTGAGGAGATGTTAATGAGAGGGTTTAGTCCAGTAATATATGGTGATTATAGAATTGATTTTGTGATTGTTTTGGCAATGTGCCATTTCAGAGGCTGGAATTCTATGGGTTTCTGCATCAGTGATCAGTGACACTCTTCAACTACTCTACCTTTTCACGATGCCATAAAAACAGCAACAACTAACGTTACTCTTCATTTAATTTATTCATTGTTTTATTCATCGGCTGTGTAGTTCAACTTGGAAGTCCTGGTTTCTACCTGAAACATGATTTTTAGTCCATAGAGTTTGACATGGAGCCCCCTCTCTATTCTTCTCTAATCCTGACTGCTAACAGCCCCCCCAGTGAATGTTGCTCTCTAATTAGGGTCAAACAGACCCTGTCCCTGTCTGTCTGCCTGTCATCTCCTCTATGCCCAGGGGGCATTTAGAGCATGCTGGCTGCCTCGCCCCTCTTATTGCCCCCCATGGTCCCTGGATCATAGACTGGCCCTCAGAGGGGAATAGTTATGTGTTGTCAGTAGACACTGAATTAATCTGCACTCACTTTCCAAAAACAATTCTAGATACAATACCAGGCATGGTGGAATACATTTGGAATAATGTGATATCATGGAAATTATGTTTGGGTAGTGTACTACTTATTCTGGTGGTGTACCATATTTACTCTAATTTCAAGTTGCTTAAATAAAATAAAATGTTATTCGTCACATACACAGTTTACAGTTGGTATAAAAGGTGCAGCGAAATGCTTATGTGCTAGCTCCCTCAACAATGCAGTACATTAATCAATATAAAAAACAATGAAAGAGTCACGTCAAAAATAACAAGTAATAGGAGCGGTAGTATGCATAGTAATAATGGACTGTATTTACAAATATAAAGTGGGAAGTGACTTGGTCACGCAGTAGAATAAATAGTATATACTTGAACACCAGGGTTGACTGTGTGTGTGTGTGTGTGTGTGTGTGTTACAAGTTGCTTACAGAGTATTATTACATTGAAAGCGGGTCTCATAGAAACATGATGAGATAATGTACTGTATGTGTGACAGTGCTAGGATGTAAATCCACTTTGTGAGCAGTTAATTCCGTAGAGGTGGATGTTATGATATGAGGGCTGTGAATGAGGGCCGTCTTTCTCCAGCCGAACCGAGAGGGGTGCACAGGGAGGTCATTTCATCAATGAAAGGGGGGGGATTGTTCTCCATTCTAGCGACTCCTGAGTGCCTGCCAAGCTCTGCCTGGCTTTTAATTAAAGTCATTAACCTGGGAGGAGAGAGAGAGAGACTGACTGAGTCTGAAGACTGCTGGAGATGCCAGACAGAAGTTACTCTAGCCAGTTGTCTCTGTCAGTCAGGAAAATGAAGGCCAACAGATGTCTAACTTACTCAGTGAACTAGGTATCGTTTCCAGAGATTGTTTAAAGGTTGTAAATGGCTATGTTGTTTCTCCGTGTTTATTCTGCATTTTTTAGTTGGGGTCATTCACATTCTTTCATTTGGAAAATTGTGGGTATTGCTTGAATCTTAATCTTTACTTTCCGACCTTGCTGAAAATCCCATTATTTAGTGTTATGAACAGTGGATAGCCTAGTTAGTGTATAAGAGTACTGGTCATAAAGGCTGTGACAGAAAATATAAGATATTACAATTACATTTACTGAAATAAGGGAGGAAATGAACATGTCCACACGAGTAAACCTGTTGACTCATCATCTCTCTGTAGTTCCTAGGAGCTAATCAGACCAAGCCTGTGTGGGCTAGCCCTGGGTGTTCTCTGTCACTGTATAGACAACTACTGATGTGGGCAATATAAAATAGATTCACCACTAAACAAACCCAACCACATGTATTTATACATTCAAGGCCTGGCTAAAAATGGTATTTGATGGATTCGTATAAGGCATCTCAAAGTGTATTACCTTTGGATTTTCTTAAACACACGTGGCTTCTTGTTTGTCTCCATCCAAACCCAGCCTGAGCTCTGTCTGTCCTCCAACATTTCTGTTTGTCCCCATCCTGACTCCTTCCCCTCTCCTTTCCACCCCAGATGCCCTCTCGCTGTAGGACCGCACTGCATATCGTGACTACCACCCTCTTCGCTGCGGTGGTCCTGTTTGGGATCCTGCTGGCCTATGTGACTGGCTATCAGTTCATCCACACAGAGCAGCACCACCTGTCCTTCGGCCTGTACGGAGCCATCCTGTCCCTGCATCTTTTCCTCCAGAGCCTGTTTGCCTTCCTGGAGCACAGACACATGCGCAGCCCCGCCCGGCCCCAGCACCTGCGGCGCTCCGTGGCCCTGTGCATCGCAGCCTACCAGGAGGACCCAGACTACCTGAGGAAGTGCCTCTGCAGCGTGCGCCGCATCTCCTTCCCCAGCCTGAAGGTGGTGCTGGTGGTGGACGGGAACAGGCCGGAGGACCGCTACATGATGGACATCTTCCAGGAGGTGATGGGTGGAGCGGACCAGGCCGGCAGCGTGGTGTGGAGAGGGAACTACCACAGTGACGGGGGCGGAGGTGGAGGGGTGGGTAGAGGGGGGGCTGGAGCAGCGTCCCTGCATGCACAGGAGGCTGCACGTGTGGCCATGCTAGTGAGGGGCTGCCGCTACTCCTGTATTATGCAGGAGTGGGGAGGGAAGAGAGAGGTGATGTACACAGCCTTCAAAGCCCTGGGAGACTCTGTGGACTATATGCAGGTAAGTCTCTGTGTTTAAATGTTGCATCTCTCAATGGGTCCTCTGTCCTGCTTGATAGAAATAGGTAATCTGATCTCCTTGTGACTGAGTCTCCACAGACTTTGGCAGAAGGCCTTGTATCGATGCTCTTCCATTACGGAGCAATATCTCAAAGCTGCGAACACACACACACACACACACACACACACACACACACACACACACACACATACACACACAGAGGTAATCCCATTACTCAATGGACAGTCACAAACAGCATTTTTTCCCCCTCCCAAGTGGGTACCCTTTAATACCCTCTCAAGTGTTACATATTATAGCAACTGATTGAAATGTCTGCATTGCTCTTGGGCTTGCATACTGTATACATAGAGCCATAATACAGTATATTACTGCATTGCCAGGGTCAAAGTTCAGTTGTTCAGCTGGATCTCTCCTGTATGCTTCTTGAACACCTGTGTGCTGTCAGAAGCCTCTCATTTCTTCCAGCTAGCTTGAGTGGCACCTGATAAAACACAGGGGACCTGAAACACCTGCTGTGGCCCTAGACCTTCAGTCTTGGGTCTTTCTCACTCATTTATAGACAATTAATCACTCATTTATTAATATAGACCACATCAGTGTGTATTGCATACATATCATCCCTACAGCCGTCATAAAATGAATAGTAAGATCAATAGCCGAATGTGTGATGGGATGAGCAAATTAGATTCATCCACTGTCAAAGCCAATCACATTACCACCAACTTGGCTCCATGTCAGTTATATTATAAGGATGGAAATAATGCACATGTGTATGTGTGGCTTTGCAGGTGTGTGACTCAGACACAGTTCTGGATCCAGCGTGCACCATAGAGATGCTGAAGATTCTAGAAGAGGATGCAAAGGTGGGCGGAGTAGGTGGAGATGTTCAGGTGAGAGATTTCTCTAAGAAGAGCCTTCACATTGTTGTTATTGTCATCCTATCAAAACGTACTTACTAGTTCCACTGAATCATCAGAAACAGTTTCTCCTCACTTGTCTCTGTTTCCCTTCAGATCCTGAATAAGTATGACTCGTGGATCTCCTTTCTGAGCAGTGTGCGTTACTGGATGGCCTTCAACGTGGAGCGGGCCTGCCAGTCCTACTTTGGCTGTGTGCAGTGTATCAGTGGTCCCCTGGGCATGTACCGCAACTCCCTTCTGCAGCAGTTCCTGGAGCCATGGTACCACCAGACCTTCCTGGGCAGCAAGTGCAGCTTCGGTGACGACCGCCACCTCACCAACCGCGTGCTCAGCTTCGGTTACAAGACCAAGTTCACGGCCCGCTCCAAGTGCCAGACTGAAACGCCAACGCGCTACCTCCGCTGGCTCAACCAGCAGACCCGCTGGAGCAAGTCCTACTTCAGAGAGTGGCTGTACAACGCCCTCTGGTTCCACAAACACAGCCTTTGGATGACATACGAGTCTGTGGTGACGGGCTTCTTCCCCTTCTTCCTGGTTGCCACAGTGATCCACCTGTTCTACCGCGGGCGCCTGTGGAACATCCTTCTCTTCCTGTTGACAGTGCAACTGGTTGGCATTGTGAAGGCCACCTACGCCTGCTTCCTGAGGGGCAGTCTGGTCATGATCTTCATGTCTCTCTACTCCCTCCTCTACATGTCCAGCCTGCTGCCAGCCAAGATCTTTGCCCTGCTCACTATCAACAAGGCTGGCTGGGGCACGTCAGGGCGGAGGAAGATTGTGGTGAACTTCATAGGGGCGGTGCCCGTCACGGTGTGGGGGGCTGTGCTGCTGGGTGGGGTTGCCTACACCATCTACTGTGAGACCCAGGAGCCCTTCAGTGAAACAGAGAAAGCCCTTCTCATCGCTGGGGTCATCCTGTACGCCTGCTACTGGCTCATTCTGCTGGTTCTCTACCTGGCTATAGTGGCCAAGCGCTGCAACAAGAGGGAGGAGCAGTACCACCTGCCGTACGCAGAGGCATAAGACATGGATCCTTGTTCAGTCCTTTATGGTGCTGCTAGAACAGCTGAGCCAGTCTGTGGCCCCACCACTCTGTCTCCATGGTGCTAAACCTCTGGGACCTATGTGGTATGAATGCGTTGTAGAATGACAATGGATGGACAGTTCTCACATTAACCTGGGAGACTTGGTTAAGTAGGTAACAAACCTTTTCTACAGTACAGAGTCCTTTAGCAGTGGGCATGGTGCTTACCATGGATATAAAGCACATTATCATACAGCCCGTTTGGCCACGGTGGGGCCTGGATATACCAGAGATCATAAGAGCTATGACATGGTGTGTGTGTCAGTATGAATAGTTTGAAGCAATGTTGATATGTCACCAACTTGACTAGAATGACTGAATATACAGTCTTTCTTACCGTTTTGAAAGATGCATTGAGCTGAGGGCCCTCTCTGGTGACACAATGATCTACAGTTGTATTTTTGTAATACAATAATTGATAGACAATCTAACATTTATACAAACAGAACTTTTGGTGCTGTTGAACAGTGCCGAAGGTAAACGTTTAGCTCGTAAGGTAATGGCCTGCAAGAGTATTTACACTCAATTGAATGAGTCAGTGAGTTTTGTGTGGCCATTTTGTTGTATGGGTGCCAAATTGTATACACATTATACTGCAGTGCTCAATACAGGATGTACTTTTCCAAGTGAGGATAAACCAACATTCATTCCATCATGTAGACTCCTATGACCAAAGAGCACTTGTTTTTTGACACATGTCGTAACATTAATAGAACACAAGTACTAACTCCATTGCTGTTATTAGTTGTAAATCCAGAATGAGAAAATAAAGAAAACATGATCCCATTTTATCAAGGTCAGGTAGTATTAGTGTAGGTGCCACCATGTCTAAGTTGACATGTGTTTTTTGTTGTTGGAGAATGGAGATAATGTTGTGTACGTTTCCACTCGTGTGCTATTTAAGTTGGGTTCATATTATTTTATTAAATGAGGATTGCATAACTTGAAACTTGAATGTGCAAACAAGACACATAAAACAATGTTTGTTTACTGGCTTGCTCAGCCTCTATCTACCAATGGTGCAGTAGGTCAAATTGATGGTACAGTACATTTCCAGAGGTGATATAGATATTCAAGTAAAAACTTTGTGGGCCACCAGGAATATGTTTTGCAGTGTTGTCTTGGCTATGAATCAAAGTTAGCTGTTGTTGGGGATCAAAACTGCAACCTCCACATCAGCCACAGGCAAAATTTCCCCCGACACGAGGCACAAGATTGTTCGCAATTCATTCAAGTATTGGTGGCCATGAATTGTGACCACATTATTTTGGTGTTTTTTTTTTATATTGAAATTGGGGTTAAACAGGTAAAGAGCCCCCACACAAATGTAGTACTTCGAAGTTATTTCCTGAATGCAATGCCAAAATAAAGGAAACACCAACATAAAGTGTCTTAATTGGGCATTGGGCCACCACGAACCAGAACAGCTTCAATGCACCGTGGCATAGCTTCTACAATTGTCTGGAACTCTATTGGAGGGATGCGACACCATTCTTCCATGAGAAATTCCATAATTTGGTGTTTTGTTGATGATGGCGGAAATCGCTATCCCAGGCGCAGCTCCAGAATCTCCCATAAGTGTTCAATTGGGTTGAGATCTGGTGACTGAGACGGCCATGTCATATGGGTTTCATGCACATCAAACCATTCAGTATCCACTCGTGCCCTGTGGATGGGGGCATTGCCATCCTATGGGGGCATAGCCATGGTAGCCATAATATTTGCCTGCCCAGCATGATGGCCCTAAGCATGATGGGATGATATTTGTTAATTAACTCAGGAACCACACCTGTGTGGAAGCGCCTGCTTTCAATATACTTTGTATCCCTCATTTACACAAGTATTTCCATTATTTTGGCAGTTACTTGTATCTTCGCTATTTAAGTGGTCATTAATGTGTTTGGTTTTAGGCAGTGCATTGGAAAACATGTTGGAGTCACAAGGCCATTAAGAGACGCCAGCCAGAGAGAGTGTGAGTGGAGGTGGTGGTGGCCAGGCACAGAGGGGGAAATGATTTACTGTGTGGCTGGATGAATTGGTCCCTTCAGCCATCATGGAGCAAAAAGGGTGGACATCTATGGTTACACTTCTATGTGCATGCCAAGAAGGGACCTCCCCCTTTCCCCTAAACACACACATAAACAGCCCCTAAGAGGGATGCCTGCAACCCCTTTGGCCCTCTTTAAGGAATCAGTACAGAATGCTGGAACACAGAAATTAGTGTTTAAAATTCTGTACAGACAGCAAATAATCTCTTTTAATCATCTGTCTTAACATGTAGATGTGGCCTACTTTTCCCTTTTTACTCCCGAGGGTGTATGTCAGGTGACTGTGTAATAAGACTCTCAGCACAGTGACTGTTGATGCACATGTATAATGAATGTAAACTAGAAGCACCATATCACCAAGTAGAATTATGAGTATGTGTAAATGTACTTGGCGAATAAAGGGGATTCTGATTCTTCTGATTCTGACATAGATATTGGGATTATGTGAAGAAATGTCTGACATTCAGTTGTATGGTGTGGAGATGTCAAATACAATGTTTGTTATAGCCTATCTTTCAGGCTGAACATCTGCTTTCAGTCTACAATATTGTCACTGCCTCTGAGGTACTCAGGCCATTGAGCTGTGACAGTTTCAGACCACTCATGTTTGACAAGAAATAAATGGATCTCATAATGCTGAGTGACTGTAGATGTCCACCCATATTTGTAAGCATATCTTACATGGAAAAAACCCAGTCTTATAATAGTATTGGTTTGAATATAATTACATAACTATTCAATAAGTCTAATGTGACTGAAAATCTATACCAGACTTTTCTAAGCCGTGTCTCAATGACATAGAACAACAGTTGAGCCTCTCCAACAAACCATGGTATCTCAGCTCATACATCATTTGATGTTACATAAAGGCAATGTTTCACAGTATATTGCAAAGTAGTATATTTTGTGTATTGTATATATTCAAAGATATTTTGAAGAATAGGCCTATATTTAAAAGGAACTATGGGATTTGTACATTTCATGAACCAATAGCTGTTTACATCATTTTTACAATGTGATGTAGTTAGCATATAATGATCTGTTAATTCAGTGTAGTTTGGTCTCTAGTGCTCATCATTGCTACACTGGTCTTTTCTGTAGTTTCATGGATGAGACATCACTCATATTACCATTATCCCTATTACTATTTAGAGATTATGCTTCATGTAGATTTAGAACAGGCAGGTATAACTGTCATGTAAAAGTAATAAACCAAAAGATAGCATTTCTGATACACTAGTAGGGTTTTTAAAAAAAACTCAGAATCATGCACCAGCATATGGCTATACACATTTTATTTTACTGGTATATAAAAGCTGAACATAATGTATTGTAACCACCCAGGTATTTCATTATGTACATATTTAAATAAAAGACAAGACATTGTTGGAAAAAGTTTTGTATTTCAATTTCAAATCAAAACGTTTATTTTTCTGACTTGTACAGCGGTTGAAAAAAAAAAAAAGTGTATTTTTATCTGAATAAAAAATATTTCTCATTCGACTGTTGTGGCGATTTCTCCCCCATTGGAAAATAATCACTGTACAAATGTCATGTCAACGCATTACTAAATCCTGTCACATCTGATAAGTGCAACAATTTATTTGAATAATACACCACATCATACAGAACATTCCAGCAATGTAACCACTGACATATCAAAACAAATATGCACACAGGCTAGTTCCAGATGTCCCATAACCTCAAGCCAGAGGAGTGTGTCCCAAGTATAGTATTGCACTGTGTGCTCCATACTTGTTGGCCTGGAGTCATTAAGAGTGCAGCATGTCCTTTGCTCCCACAGAGGTGACCAGGGTCAAGGTCATTAGGCACAAAATGGAAGAAAACAGACTGAAACAGGGACTACCTGAACTTGTCAAATTTTTTCAGTTAAAAGTGTTTTGCGACAGTGAGCCCTAATGCATACGACCAAGCACTTCACTACACTTTCTTGGGCACATTAGTGATGATGGGCTTTGGGCGAGTCTTGAAGATGAGCTTCTTCTTGATGAGGGCGGAAACAGAGTAGGTGGTAGGGTTCTGCTGGTTGGTTTCCATGGGAACCTCCTCCCCCTGCGGGAGGCCAGAGTGTTTCATCAGGACAGCAAAGGGCTTCTCCAGTTTGACCACCTTACCATAGAGGATGTGGTGTCCCACAATTAGCACAGGTACACCCTGGGGAGGGGACACAGGTGAGTACAGTAAAGACAAGAAACAACATCTCTGAGTGGAAAGAGGTAAGAGAAGAGTGTACTAGCACTACATTACATTTACATTTACGTCATTTAGCAGACGCTCTTATCCAGAGCGACTTACAAATTGGTGCATTCACCTTATAGCCAGTGGGATAACCACTTTACAAAATGTTTTTTTTTTTGGGGTGGGGTAAGGGGGGGTAGAAGGATTACTTTATCCTATCCCAGATATTCCTTAAAGAGGTGGGGTTTCAAGGGGTTTCACATTATAGTGCCATGTTGTCCTGTACCTCTTTGGTGTAGAGCAGATCTCCCATCAGGTTCCCAGCCAGTCCAGAGTTCTGCCTGGACACCATCTCCCCCTGGAGTTCAACCAGCAACCACTCAGCAGGACCAAGACCATCCACACTGGACAGGGATGGATAGGGGAGTAAAAACAGATGTACTCACCAAATACATAGACATCAAGCATTGTCACTAAACATGATGAAATGAATATTTCACACACTCAGAGGCGACCCGTCATTCAGGGCAGGTGGGGCAGAGCCCCACTTATTTTGAACCCCACATATCAGTTTGCAAACAATGTAAAAAAATACATAATAATATCATTGCGTTAATAAAGCTGCATACAAACATGGTCTCTTTTTTGCTTTCTTGAGTAAGGCAGCTCCAAAATGCAGGTGGTTCAGCCTAGCTCAGTGCTTTCTGTAGTGGTGGGGCAGCTAGCGGAAAATACGGAGCGTAGGGGTTGGTAATAATATGCCATTTTAGCAGACGCTTTTATCCAAAGCGACTTACAGTCATGCGTGCATATATTTTTGTGTATGGGTGGTCCCGGGGATCGAACCCACTACCTTGGCGTTACAAGCGCCGTGCTCTACCAGCTGAGCTACAGAGGACCAATGTTCTCTAGTTGCGCCGTGATTGGGTAATGTTCTCTAGTTGCGCCATGATTGGCTCAGTGTTCTGTCACTCATGGGGACACTACATCACCGCCAAATCTAAGGGTAGAGCTAAAAAATTCAAGCCCCTTGGGTGCTGCCATTGAGTTACATTAGAAATGCCCATCCAAGAAGGCTCAAGGTCATTGGCCACAGATAAAATGACGTCAAATCACGTTAAATGTACAGTAGCTTTGATTGGACTGATCATGTCAACATCTTACTTTCAAAATCTTAGCTAGCAGTCATCATCATGAATCATGTCGACAATCTACTGGCAAATGCTTTTTAATCCTTGTCATATGAAGAGAAATAATGAAGAGAAATTACAGATAAAACGTATCGGTGCTCATCAGCCATTGAACATAAACATTACACAACAAGTTGGAAATCGCAAATTCAACAATGAGTGGTTTGGAAGGAATTAGTAACTGACTGCAAGCATTGCAAAGCAATCACTACCCTGCTTTTCAGTGGAGTGGCTGTGTAGTCCCAAGTCTGGGTTTAAGGGTCTCTTTTCCAAGCTTAAAATGATAAACATTTAACATTGGCCATGCTGTCAATCCAGCATGATTTCTGTCGCACTCAAAACAACTGTTAACTCCGAACTGGGAAATCTGACTTCAGTGAGTTCAAGACAACTGGGAACAAAAACAAGCTCCGACTCGGAAAATACGTTTTGAACGGTCATCCAACTCGGAATTGTAAGTCGGGAACTCTGGCCTCTTTCTAGAGCTACGACCTGAAGATCACTGACGTCATCATGATTTGACCCTGTTTTTTCCCCGAGTTCCCAGTTGTCTTGAAAGCGCCATAAATCCAGAGAATGCCAGACTTTGATGACAAAGTTTGCCCACGAAGGACCGCCGTGCCACCTTCCTGTTCAAGTGAGCATAGCACAACAAGGTCAGTCCAAAAATGTATTTTATGCTGCTGCATAAATGATGTAATATGCCAGGGAGATATGTATACTGTAGCTAAGAAAGTGTATGTTGTGTAGTAAACTGTTAGTAGCCCATGTGCCTCACACTAATAATTTGGTCTATTTTCACCTCTTAATTGTGCCTACTGTTCTGACTTGGTGGTGCACATGTAGCCTATAGCCTGTTTTAGAGAAAAGTTCTAATTGAATATTGTAAGAGCTTTCATTGTCTGCTTATATGCCCCCTTTATTTATCCTACGGTTCTGACTTGGAGTACAGGGAGAATACTGTAAGAACGGCCCATGTTCTGAATTTTGTCGCTGTACATTTCAAAAGTGCTGAAGAAATAGTTATCTTGACTACATCCGTCCAAGCTCACTCATTAAGTTCTTAATCGAAATTACGGATTGCCTCTTATCCGCTTGTCGTCCCCTTATGCCATAGTTTGTACATCTCAATTGTCAGTAGAAACCACGTTTGTTTAAGCAAGTCAGCCATATCTGCTATGTTTTTTAAAAAGGCAGTAAATGAGGCTGAATGAACTGTTTCGCTGCCAGACATGGCTCAGCTGATAGCCAGGTGTAGTAGTGGTAAGGTGTTGGGACAGCTTATGTAGGCCCTAACAGTTTGTGGGCACCGTTTGTCACCGTTACAATGCAATTAATGTATTGTTTAGTGTTGTGGCTTTGCTCGCATGCATCCCCAAATATTTTGTCTGTGTGTCCCACAAGATGTACATGCTAAAATCGCCACTGCACACACTACAGTTGACTGATCGACTGCATTGACACTCGCAGTCTCTCAACAGATCTAACTCTGTTCATTACCATCTGATGAAATGAAAGTTAGCTAACTAGGGAAGTTATACTATCCTGAATGTTTTCATACTCAGCGAAGAGACAGACAGAACTTCTGTGAATTGACCATTTATAAGAATCCAGATGAGATTGAGAAGTCTTACCTTGAATTTATAATTATTTGAACCATCGTGCTGCTCGCAGAAAGATAACTAAAACACTGACAGGGTGAGGAGAAGAAGAGAGATGCAACACAGGCACTCAATGCGACATTGTTAGGTAAATATAATGATCCATTAACGCTAATTCTGTCGCTGACAAGTCGTGTTTGTTTTCATGTTTTTCCCGCCAGGAAGATATACCACCTTCTTCCGGCGCACTGTCACGTCACTTGCGGGTAGGGGTTTTCGTTTCCGGTTCGAAGGTATCCAACGTGGTGTCTGCTGTAATTCAACGTGTGGATCTAGGAATGAATGTTTGTGAAAATTGAAGAAAATACTAAAGAAAGTGACGATAAAAGTAAGCGTTTTCTTTAACTGTTTTTATGTGCATTATAAATCGGTACATGTCAATAATATAATTATTTGCGCATAGGCAAGCGGTGTTCGTTCAGTGTCCAGCTAGCTAACCAGCCTAATTGTTTGCCAGATGGCTAAGTAACGTAGCTGGTTAGTTAGCAGCTATTTTTTTGAGTTGCTAGTTAGCCATCTTGTTTATACATGTTTCAAATTATGACTTGCATCGCATTATGACAGTTTAGCCGGTAGTTAACACGCGGCACGAGGCTAGCTAACTGGATAACATCAATACTGATTTCCACGCAAAACTCTTGATCCTCTTTTAATTTTAGCATCCATCTGTTTTCTTAGGTTAGCGACAATGGGGGAGTTTAAAGTGCACCGGGTTCGGTTTTTCGACTACATGCCCACTGCCATCAGAGCTATGGCATTCAATGCCCACACAGAGAAATTGGCCCTGGCACGAATGGATGGGAGTGTGGAGATTTACAACTTTGCTGACCACTATTTCCAGGAAAAGGTTAGTAACTTGTTGAATAAATGTATGGCCTATTCAGAATGAAAATAAACATTATGTTTGATCGTTACTCTACATTTTAGCATACTTAAAAGGCTTTACATTTACATTGTAGTCATTTAGCAGACGCTCTTATCCAGAGCGACTTACAGTTAGAGTGCATACATTTTTTTTCTTCCATACTGGTCCCCCGTGGGAATCGAACCCACAACCCTGGCGTTACATGCGCCATGCTCTACCAACTGAGCTACACAGGCTTTACACCTCCTTCCTTAGGACATTGTTGATGCTTATTGTTGATTAACAATGTCGACAGAAATACACCCACGGTTGGTTGTCACACTTGCCATTAATTAACACTTGTTTTGGATCTGCAGGTTATCCCAGGGAAGGACTCCCGGTCAATCGAGGCCCTGTGTTGGGTTGGAGGACGCCTGTTCAGTGCTGGCCTAAATGGAGAGATCACAGAATATGACCTGGAAAACCTGAGACCCAAATACTCCCTGGAGGCATATGGGGGCCCCATTTGGACCATATCCAGCTATTCTCAGGGGGCACACTTAGCGGTCAGTCACCTCTCTGTAATAGTGTCCTTTCAAACATATTGCACTTTGTGTTTTATGCCGACTTTAGATGGTATTTAAAATCTTGTAACTTTTTTTTTTTTTTACATGTTAGATCGCATGTGAAGATGGGACAGTGAAGTTGTTTGAGGTACTTGAAGAGAGCATTCAGTTTGAGCGCAGTCTGGACAGACAGAAAGGTGAGTGGAACAGAGTACTGATTCACTTGTCTAAACATTTGTTCCTTCCTTACATTGCAACCTTTCTTAATATGTTTTGGCATCCTTGCTGTCAATGGGGTTGCAACTGACCTCTTCTAGTGCAGCTTAGACTGTGTAATCCTGTCTTTCAGGTCGCATCATATCCCTCTCCTGGCACCCCTCTGGCACACAGATTGCTGCTGGCATGATGGACATGATCTGTGTCTTTGATGTTCCTACAGGTGAGTTAGGAACAGCCATGTGAAAATATTGTCAGACAGTTAGTGAGCTAACCACAATACGTTTAATGATAGGTTTCCTAATTTTGACTTGTTTTGATCCTGACCTCCAGTGTTTGTTGTTTCAGGTCATGCTGTACAGAGGCTCCTGGTGGACCGGGGCATTGGAGGCTCTAAGAGTCGGGAGACTGTAGTCTGGAGTGTAGTCTTCCTGTCAGACCATACTATCATCAGCGGTGACTCTGCTGGGAAGGTCCAAGTCTGGGACAGACACACCGGCACGCTCGTCAAAACACACCTGGTGACCAAGTGGGATGTGCTGGCACTGTCTGTCTCCAAGGTGAGAGGGTGTTCACTGTGATGGACACTTGGCCTTTACCATTATCTTATCCCTCCTTCCAGATTGTTGCACTTTGTTTATTAGGAGGAGCTAGAGAATGTAGATGTCTCTTTGATTTTCTGAATCCATATGTTGCAGAGAACATGATTTGTTTGACCCTACTAATGTGAATTGGTAGGATTGACTAGAGTGGAGCTTCCTTCTAGACTGGTCTGTGTGTGTGATTGACAGGATGAGAGCAGTGTGGTGGCGGGGACGTCAGAGGGTACTGTGATCCAGTTCCAGTTCATTGCTCCTACTCTGCAGCAGCAGGACAAGGAGTGGGTTAGAACCAGGACCTTTAAGAACCACACCCATGATGTCAGAGCCCTGGCTGAGATCGAGACTGCCATCGTCTCTGGAGGTCAGTACTAATGCTCAAATGGATGAGGATGAACTGCTACTGTAGTACCATGAATGCTGCTTTATATTGACTGCATGACTAATTCTGGATACAATCTCTTCTCAGGTATGGATACCCAGCTTGTAGTGAGACCCCTCTTGGAAAAGTTTGATGAGAGGTCACATGCTTCGGGACTTCGCAAAATCCACTTTCCCCATGTGAGTACAGAAATAGTAGAAATTACTTGGGTATCAGAGCTGTTGCAAAAAATATTAATTGCATAGATTGTGAATAGTGAATTCAACAGAATGTTCATATTAACACTGAACAGATTGTTATAGAATTGCACTAAAAAGCTTGATTTGATCCTGTTTGTACTGTTGTTCTTTTCAGCGGAATCTAGTATCCTGTGCAAAGAAGGCAGGGCTACTGCTCTTCCAGTTCCCTGGTCAGCTGGAGCTGTGGAGACTGGGAGAGAGTGATGGACATGGTGAGAAGCTCTCACACACTCACTCTGGGAAGAGGGAGATGGGAGAATAGTCAATATCATGCAAATTATAGTAGCAACTTTACAAAAAAAGGGGAGTGATTATCACACTTGTCTAACGGGTGTAGCTGTATTTGATGACACCTCTCTCTTCTTTTCAGGGAAGCCAGGAGACAGCTTGCCTCTGAAGAGGAAACCTGAGAAACTCCTCCATCTCAAGAGAAAGGTAGGTACATTGCTCTTGCATACACCTGTTTATCACCTCAATCTGTAGAACTATCCAAGATCACCTCACCCTTGGGCATTTCATTTTAGCTGATCTAATAACAGTATACATTGAATTTGAGTGGCATAGTCTGAGTTTATGTAATGTTGAAGAAACCCTGTTTAACTGTAGTTGTTTTGTTATTCTGTGACGTTTGCCCTCAGGGTGAGGATCAAATCTGCTGCAGTGCTCTGTCCTCCTGTGGAGGATGGCTAGCCTACTCCACTGTGTCCAGTGTACGTCTGTACAGGCTGCAGACGGACAATAACGACATCAGTATTACCAAGGTAGTACCAAGTCTTGATTGTGGTCTCCATTATGTTAGATACACAATCGGCCTCCTCACCTACTTTATCATGTTTGCCAAAGCGGTTTGCTGATTTGCTACACAAATCCCATTTAATTGTTTGACTAATTCATAAAATCCTGTTTGTTCTAGTTGAATGTCATTTGAGCTTGTTGAATCTGATAATATATTGTGTGCTTTCACTCTTCCCAAGGGACAGTCGTATTTGCAATCATTCAAATGGGCCAGCTTTGACTGGACAATAATTTCACTCTAATATTTAATATCTAATATAATATGTCCTCTGTAGCTCAGCTGGTAGAGCACGGCGCTTGTAACGCCAAGGTAGTGGGTTCGATCCCCGGGACCACTCATACACAAAAATGTATGCACGCATGACTGTAAGTCGCTTTGGATAAAAGCGTCTGCTAAATGGCATATTATTATTATTATTATTTTTATATTATTACTGAGCATCCAGTAGATGGCGCCATTTGTCCGTGCTGTAAAATGTCAGTTTAAAACTCCAACATTGCTGGTTGAGCCCGGTCTTGTTCTCCTCTCCTACATTGTTCAGTTGGAGAGGTAGTCCAAATCCCTCTCTCTCTCTCCCCCAGGTACCCAAGCTTCCAAAAGTCCTGCGCTCTGCACACCAGCTGTGTTTCTCGTCAGACTCCTTCAAACTGTTTGCTGCCTCCAGCCAATCATCAGTCCTCGTTATTGCCCTTAGCCAATCTGAGTGCAAGTATGTGCACACCCTTAAGCCCAAGTCAGGTCAGTGGATCATCAGAAATATTGGTTATCTGATCTCCCATGTCAACTGGCAAACTGCTTTCTGAAATTGCAATTTTGATGCTCTTCACTGAAAAACCAAAGCTCTGTGCTGGATAACCTAATCTCTGTTTTTTGGTAACATGGCCTCACTCTGCTGTTTCCTTCTCCAGGGTCCAGACAGCCCATTCACCTAATGACTAACAGTGTGGATGGGAAGTGGCTGGCGACAGCAAATAGTGACTGTGAGATCCACGTCTACAATGTACAGAAACTAAAGGTGACTGAGTTTTCCTCTGATCCAGTCAAGCTCTACAGCTGTTCTGTAACACTGTAAAAGTAGTGTAATCTGCTACCAATGACAGCCTCACATGACCCATGACCCTATTCTTGTGTTCCAGCTCCACTGTATAGTACCTGTGTATGGTTCCTGTCCCAGTGCCATGGGGATCAACCCCACCACCAACAACCTGACCATGGTGCACGCTGACCAACAGGTAAACACCATGCCACCTCTCATACTGCAGCTGCAGATATTGGTATCTCTCAATAATACTTTTAACAGGAGTGATCGTTGAAACTTGTGATATCCCCTGTAGGTTTACGATTTAGTACCCCGACACGTGTAGATATGCTGACTGTTCTTTGGTCCATGTCTATAGATATTTGAGTACTCAATAGTGGAGAAGCAGTACACAGACTGGAGCCGAAAGCTTCAGAAGCAGGGGCTCCACAACTTGTGGTTGGACCGGGACACACCCGTCACCCACGTGACCTTCAACCCTAAAAACCCTGAACAGATCCTCCTGCACGACATGCACATGTTCTGCATCATCGACCAAAGTCTGGTAAGAAACCTGCATCTCTCCCACAGGCATCCTTCTTTTTTGTTTTCCTTTAAAGTGTTTATCCATCAATGTCTTTGTCATAATGGCCTTTAGCAGTCCTTCTCAGTTGAGCCTTTTCATCTATTCAAGGAACAGTGTTGGTTTAGTGGCCTATTATGGGTCATATTGAATGTATCATTATAATACACCTGCTTTTAGTGGCCTGTGAGGTTAACACAGTCACCCTCTACCCCTTCAGCCCCTCCCTGACCAGAAGACCCAGTTCTACAATCAGATGACCCTCAGGAGCCTATCAGAGCAGGAGAGGCCCTGTCACCTCCATGCTTTCAAAATATGTAAAACCTTCCAGGTGAGTCTCTCTGTTTGGCCAGGTAGAACCCAAACTGGGACAATATCAGGATTCTGTTGAATATATCTTATATACAGTAGGGGTGTAACGGGACACGTATTTGTACCAAACCATTCGGTAGGGGGACCTCGGTTCGGTCTGTGAACTGTGAACCCAAATTAATACATACAAATAAAAACACTAAGCCTATGCTTCAAGTAAATCTGAGTTGGAAAATTGTTTCAGGCTATTCTGTTGAAACAACAAGACGTTGTATAAAAAATTCTCATCTTAATTGGCACATTTCAAACTGTCCTTTTGTGAGGCGCAGCCGGGAACTAGTTCTACTATGGCGAGTGGTGGGGTCGATAAACCAGGAGGAAGATTCTCCATTTTTAAAATCTCCAGTTTGGGGAAAATGTTGACTTCTTAGTAGATTACAACAGCGATGGACAGAGATTTGTGGATAAAACATTAACAGTATGTCGCCACGCTCAACAAGAATAGCCTATGCAGCTGCCAACACCTTAAATATGTTGGCACATTTACACCGACATCACGGCAGTAATCCGGAACAAGACTGAAGCGCAAAAAAACAACACAACATCGTCTCCCCTCTGCATTCAAGCAGCTGATTCTGACTGGGCCAAATAAATTACAAGAGCGATAGGTAGGCTATATTTATATATTTTTTACAGTCTTTGGTTTATAGCCATGGATATGCGCCTATTCTCGGTGGTTGAGAATAGGTTTCAGCACCTCGTAAAAGTGCTCGAGCGACGTTACGAACTTCCCTCTTGCACCCATTTCAGCGAACCGGTAGTATCCGCTCTATATAAGCAAACCGAAGGCAAAGTTTTCAATGAATTGTGCTTTCTTAACAGTGACAGCCCATCACATTACCCCAGAGTGGAGATGTACTATGCTACAGACACGGCCCCTTAATGAGAGTCACAAGTGCGCATCTGGCACTGAGAGAGGCAGTGTCATGGTGCATTCGTAACCAAGTGGAAATTTACCCAATACGACTGGGAAAAATCCACTTGAACGGCTCTCCAACTGGTAATTACTAATGGGGAAACTCGTTTAGCATTCTGAGCACCCACTTCTCCCACATGGTGAGCTCTGACGTCACCTGCTAGGGAAATTGCCTCTATAACAGCATTTTTGGCAGTTAATGTAACAAAACTCTATTTATATAAAGCAATCAAATGTTTTTTTTTACTCTTTAATTTGTTTACAAGCATGATAGCTGTACTTTTAGTTTATGGTTGGCGCAGCTTGTTGGCCATTAGCCAATCTGCGTTTCTCAATGAGTTCAAATCACATGAATGCATCCAACTGGTATTTACGATTTCACAACTAGTAAATTCCCACCTCCCACATGGTTACAAACACAGCATCAGAGTGGAAACTTGAGAGGCCCAACATATCAATCCTGTCACAACAGACAATGCCAGGAACGTTATGAATGCTGAACATTGTGAATGGCATTTAATTTTCACGCTGTACCGAAACCAATCCGTGACCCCAAAACCGCAATACGTACTGAACCGTGGGTTTGGTGAACCGGTACACCCCTAATTTTCAGTAATGAGATGTTTAGATTCTATAAATGTGATAATGGGTCAAATCAGTATGTCTCTGTTCCTATGATATGTGTCCTGTGTAGGACTTGCTGTCTGTGAGTTTGCTGGATGACCAGTCTCTGGTGATGGTGGAGCGCCCTCTCCTGGCCATCACATCCCAGCTACCTGCTCCCGTCAGACAGAAGAAGTTTGCCACATAAACATGAGGGAGAAGTGTATTTTTGTTTGTCTGTGGCTGCGCTTGTATTCTCTACCCTTCTCCCTGAAGTGGGCACACATTCATTGGATTTGAAAAGATTGCGACTGCTGTGACCAGGTGCACATTTCAGGAGCAGGGAAGGGAATCGGAGCACAGTCTGTCTCTCTTCACCCCTGACCCATGCTTTGTAAAGACTGTTTGATACAGTAATAAATGAAATATTTACTGTAATGTACAGACTGTTTTGTCATTTTCTCAAGGTAGTCACCTAAAATTGGCAAGGACAGTCAATCATGCATTTGGGTTAATGGTTAGGTTTCAGTGTAAAGTTTGTAAGTCTGTACAATAATGTATATAGCAGACCATTCCTCAAACATACCGTTTATTTGTAATACACAAGGCAACATTACAGCACCAGTTTGATAACATTTGGATATTACTGTCTCCCTCATAGAGAATGGTTACATGTTGTTCATACCTCCTAGCTTATTAGTTTTGGAATTCAGTCTTCATGTGTAGACCAGCTTATTGTTCTGTTAGAAGAGACAGCCTTAGAGCTGAGCACCATTTGATGTAGTACTAACATACAGACATGCCTATTCCTAACCACTCACACCTGTCTTTCTGTCATACTAATGTTCATCTTTGGACTGACTTGAGTGAAAATACTGGATGGAATATGTTCAATTTGATTTACAGTCGATACAAACAGTTTGAACAACTGTGTGTGGATGATGGGGTCATACTGGTGTAAGGCCCAGCTTGCTCTCCCACCATGATTGACAGGCTTTGTTCAAGCTGTAAGCGGAGTGGAGGGCAGCTGTGAAGTTATTACATGAATCATGTATGGAGTGTGTTGGTGGTTCTGGGTCTGTTCCTGGGTCTCTGTGTTTATGGGACCTTCATCCTGCTGGCCTGAAGGGTGAGGGCCAACAGCAGCACATAGTCCTTATTTCCTGTTGACCATCCATCAATGGGCCTCAGGTTAGGTTTCTATGAGATGGGTGTGTGTGTCTGGTTGTGGGGTTTTTCAGTGGATCTACTTTGATATTGTCTATACAAAAATGGCATGTTTTTTTATTTCCCAGTTTGAGACTGATCAAGAAAAGGGCTTTGTGTCTTGTTCCTTTCTCTGCTTCAACCATTACGCCTTACCCATGACTAAATCAAAGCATGTTTCTGTGTGTGTAAATCTGTCAAAGTATTATGTGTTTAAAACCCTGCCTGGATCATTATTCCAACCAAAGGAGTTTACCAGTTTGAGAAGAGGTAGGAACTGTATGCTTGTTTTCCTCCTTTCCCCAGGCCAGACGTGGGAAGTGTAAAGCACCGTGAGGTTATCTTGTCTGGGTTGTGCTGTGTTCCGTTGTCAAGAGAGGTTTGATATCTGGGCTCTGATAGCTGAGGTTCTGTGTTGAGGTATCTGAGGAGGAGAGACTGTTTTGAAGAGACTTCCAGCTTTTTACTCTGTCAGATAGTCCGAAATGGTTATTATAGATTGTTAGATTGACCCTTGACAGCTCAGGCATGGACAAACAATACAGGCTATATTCTGACCTCTTGTTTTTTTTCCTAAATGGCATCAAGATGTAGTTTCTCTCCCAGTAACACCTACCTCATCCCAAGTGTTTGTGGTGGTGTTTCTCATAGGCCACTGCATTATTAGAGCTACTTCCAGTTCCTATAGTGGAGAAATGACAGGCATGTTCATGTAAAAGAGACCCCAGCAGTATAATTATGGAGTATACAGGACAGTTGATCACCACACTTACCCAAGTAGTCCTTGTAGGACTTTTGCCTCATTGGACGTCCATCTGGATGAGAAATAGCACCTCCAGTTCGTGATTATGCCAGTTTTTAGAACTATATTAAATGTCTGTTGACTGAATCAGACCTTACCAGAGTTGCCACGAGACTTGATGCACTGTCCCCGGTTGGGAATGCCAGCGGCGGGGTTTCCTTGGTTGATGATGTGGCACTCGTAGCCCGTGGGACAGTGCAGGGGCTCGTCACCATCCTCTGTGGTGCTGCAGGCCTCCGCTGGAGGGCAGGGGACACACAGGTCAGAGGTCAACTAAACACACACACTGATGGTGTAGAGTTCAGGTGCGTTTAATGGTGATGTTCCAGGCTACTCACCCTGCAGTACCTCCTCTGGACCGTCTAGAAGCCAGCCATTCCCTCCCAGCCATCGAGGCTTGGGTTGAACCAGCCAGTCCAGCACTGATCAACACAAACACACATCATTGGTAAGTTTGATCCTAATGATATCGTCAGTATTTTACTGCATACCCTAGTACCAATGGTTAGAGCCATGCCCATGCTATGTATGACCATGTGTGTCGTCATATGGGTCGATAAGTGTGGTTTTGTGGACTGTCATCTAGATCAGTGGTGCTTACCTGGTGGGGGCTGCACTGACTCCAGACAGGCGTAGATGCAGCCGTTGTAGCAGCAGCGCTTGTGGCGCTCACACTCTGAGTCAGAGCGGCAGCCGGGCACCTCACAGGCCCGCTCCGGCAGCATCTGAGGTGGGGGTGGGCAGCGGTCGTTCTTCTGGTACTGTGTGGACTGGGACTGCTGGTTCGGATACTCATAGTCCTGAGAGGAGATGAGATAACAGAATTACTTTATTGTTTGCACAGAAATTTGCAGTCTACTATCCTGAGGCTGAAATATAGAGAGACCTGGATCATTTTCAACATAGTAGGTGATTGCTGGAGTCTTTTTGTACATACAGTAGGCCTACAAAGATGAATAGTGATGTCCTACCCCTTTGACCAGTTGGTGGCAGTAATGCATTTTGTAACATACTTGTTGCAAAATTTTCCATCAGCTCCTTCTATTTGTTATGTTTTCCATGTTATGTAGCTATCATGCCTGTTAGTTAACACCTTGACCTGCACTCTAAACACGTAGAGTGATGAAGAACTGAAGGGTAAGTCAATAAGGGGGAAAAAGAGGGCAATGAACGTGATACACTGTCAAGGAAGTCTTACCTGCTTTAAACCCACACACATTCTCCACCTCACCTGAACAGTGGTGGTCTGTGATTTGCTCCAAAAGAGCTTGTGAAACACTTACATAATCAGATCTTTAATACAGCCATGGCTGTATTTCCATGTACCTATTGTGTGAACTACTTCCTGCAGGATGTCATAGGTCAAACTGGTTTATTCAGGTTTGTGGTCACTGTATGTGATGTGCAAATAACCATAGAGCTAAGGAGGCAGCATTTGTGGGTCTTTCCTCATATTTTCCTAGTGTTATTCCACAGAGGAGCTGCTCTGGCTCAGCAGCAGATACAGTGAGGTCCGGTTTCCAGTTGCAGTTGAGCTAGCCTACTGTACAGGGCCAACCACACAGTCTCAGTCTGCGAGGCTCACTCTGACTCTGCCAACATTAACCAGAATGCAAATATTCCACATAGTCTGGCCAATGTTAACCAAAGCGCATCTTTATCATGGAGCTCCAGACCAGACACTGTAATTTCAAGTGCACATCCTGCTGCTCTCGACGTGGATGCCCTGCCAGCCCGGGTAAGGTGTCCCTGTCCCTTTCCCCCTGACAGAGAGACTGTGGCAGGGGCGCTCTGAGAGTTTCCCCCCTCTCACTAATTAGATAATGGGCTTGCGGACTGCACATGATCGTTAACTGCGCTGTTTATTTGGCAGGCTAAGCGACTGCTCTTCCAAACCGATCGTAAAAACGAAAGCAAATGTTTGGCGCTGGTGTTTGTGCCACAGAATGAATGTTTGTAATAAACACACAAATAATTTACTCCGTCAGCTGCCAGGTGGGGTGCCAGGTCTCAGTGACTGGATCAACTTGTAGCATTGGCGTGGCAACACACGAGTGCACTACTTTCTGGCCTTCCATTTACATTTTAGTCATTTAGCAGACGCTCTTATCCAGAGCAACTTACAGTTAGTGAGTTTATACATTTTCATACTGGCCCCCCGTGGGAAACGAACCCACAACCCTGGTGTTGCAAGCGCCATGCTCTACCAACTGAACTACAGGGGACTGCTGACTTGGTTAGGTTATTGATCCTGATTTTAATAATAATAATATGCCATTTAGCAGACACTTTTATCCAAAGCGACTTAGTCATGTCTGCATACATTTTTACGTATGGGTGGTCCCGGGGATCGAACCCACTACCCTGGCGTTATAAGCACCATGCTCTACCAGTTGAGCTACAGAGGACCACGTCTTAGTACCACTTCCAGTCTTAGTACCACTTCCAGATTTTTTATGTGCTTTACAGCGATTCTCCTTCCTCAAGATTCATCTTTAGAGCTTTTGGCCTTATCAGGGCTTGCCTGGCTACCCTTCCACATCGCTCCGGACAAACACCACGCCCACTAACATTTCTATGGAGCGATCGATATAGCAACGGAATTAAATTCAGGATGAGTCATCAGGCAACATCAGGGCGCTATTCATTCTAAGAATTAATGCTTTTAGCAGCTGTGGTCCACATTGGCCAGATTGGATCCATCATCTCTCAGATCTTCTGACTGTCTGTCTCCTGAGGGTTTCTAGGCCTAGCTACATTAGCCTGTCCTATAGTATCTCAAAGAGAAGCCAATGCTCTTAGGTCTACAAAATGATTCAAATCCTGTTTACAACGTTACAGAAAATGATTATGGGAGGCAAAGTAGGCCATTCACTTTCATCCTCATGTCATTGTGTATCTTTACAAATGCAGTTCAGACAACTCCAGGTTTAAAGTACAAGAGTGAGGCTGATTATCCCTGTGATTGGACAATGTGAGCTACAGTGACCACGGTTCATTATCTGCTCAGTTCCCATGGTTTCCCTTCAGATCTCAGTAGCAGAGGAAGTAGAATATCCGGTTCCTGTCTATCAGTCTGCCTGTCTGAGTGCCAAGCTGCCCTGCACTGCCCTACCATGCCCTGCACTGTGCCGTGCTGCATGTGTCTGTTTGATGTTCAGTCCCACATTGTTTATTTACAGTCATTGGTCTCTTCCTGCTGGGCCACAGAAATGCCGGCAAACCTGTTATATTGATTTCTTCCAGGGCAGGGATTTCAAAGCTGAGCGATGCAGCAGAGTGGTCTGAAGCCATTAGAGACCTCATTTGGCTCCAGACTGTGATGTAAACTGTGATCAGGCCATTGACGTCTGTACTGTATCTAGTCCTTAGATCAGGCACATCCTGATTCCTAGAACTCAGGAAGCACACCAGCTTCTCAAGTGAAACGATGTGCAATGTGATACGGTCATACAGCCCAAATGGATGTATGGATTGCACTGATTATTTCATGATAGTCACACTTATGCATTGACCATGCTATTTAGATCCGTATCGCTTTCTTTCTCCTGTAATACAAGTGCAGCCATTCTCCACCCTCCTTTCCATGCTGAGATAATAGTTAGACTGAGACCATGTCTGGACATAACACACATGCAGGTCACTGCCTGCTTCTGCACTGACTGTTTACCATGGTGTTTTATCCTGATGGATGTTTGGACTATCACAGGTTTATTATATCACCAGAGAGCAATGGGGGTGCTTCTCCAGCCCGCTCTCAGCGGGGAGCTGATAATCCTGTGGGTGTGTACAGTAATGTCCAGACCATGCTCACATGATATCATCTGACTGGGATTAACGTTCAAAACTTCTATCGAATCCTCAGTGGGCTAAGTGTATTAACTCTGACCTACCCAGCAGTTTACTCAAACCAAGTATGAAACAGACTTTACCTCCTGTGGATTTCTTCCAGAATATCTTATTACTGTATGCCAAGGCCATATTATGTTTTGTATTTGTTATGCATATTTTGTTTTTATTTTTCCTATTTCTATAGAGAGTGGTATTTGCTGGCTACACTAGAGGGATTATATCCTATATTGAGTCCAGCCATCTTGGAATAGCCTAGTAAATGAATTTGGCCGACATACTGGAATTATCAAAATTAGGATGCTTGTTCCAATCTCGTTCGTTCTGACGTCTCAGCACACATCCCAATCCAATCTGAACAGCCCAATCCAATGGGAATCATTCCCTTATAGCTCCCAAGAACGCTAATGTAACCTGTCTAAATGACTATCGCCCTGTAGCACTCACATCTGTAGCCATGAAATGCTTTGAAAGGCTGGTCATGGCTCACATCAACACCATCATCCCAGACACGCTGGACCCACTCCAATTCGCATACCGCCCAAACAGATCCACAGATTATGCAAGCTCATCACTATGCTCGGGACCCTGGGACTGAACGCCTCCCTCTGCAACTGGATCCTGGGCATTAAAGATAAAACACCAGGTGTCATTTTAGATTCTGAACTCAATTTCGAATCACACATTAGGAATGTGACCAAAATAGCTTTTTACCACCTGAGGAACATTGCCAAGGTGCGGCCGTTTCTATCTCAGGCTGATACAGAGAGACTCATCCATGCTTTTATTACAAGCAGGCTTGACTACTGTAATGCTCTCCTGCCATTGGTCAACTGCAAAGCAAACAGAATGCTGCAGCACGGGTACTGACCAAGACCAGATGGAGAGCACACATTACACCGGATTTAAAGTCTCTGTACTGGCTGCCTGTGAGTTTTTTAGAATTCATTTTAAGATTATTCTATTGGTTTTTTTAATCAATCCACGATTGTGCACCCCAATACTTGTAAGACATGCTTTTGAGTTATGTACCCAGTAGGTCCCTCAGGTCCTCTGGCACTGGCCTTTTAACTATCCCAAAGCCTAGGACCAAGAGGCATGGAGAGGCAGCCTTTAGTTACTATGGCCCCAGCCTCTGGAATAGCCTGCAAGAGAACCTGAGGGGGGCTGAAACTGTGGAAATATTTAAAAGAGATTTTAAAACACACCTTTTTAGCTTTGCTTTTACTTAGGGTGCAGTTTTTATTGTTATTCTTTTGTTTTTTTATTCCCTTATGTTTGTTGTGTAGTAAATATTTATGTTTTTATTTTCATTTTTATAAAAATTTTGTGAAGCGCATTGTTGCATTCATGTCAAATGTGCTTTATAAATCAAGTTTGGTTTGATGATTTGGACTTCCTGACGGGCTGCCCCCAGGTGGTGAGGGTAGGCAACAACACATCTGCCACGCTGACCCTCAACACGGGGGACCCTCAGGGGTGCGTGCATAGTCCCCTCCTGTACTCCGTTCACCCACGACTGTGTGGCCGCGCACGACTCCAACACCATCATCACGTTTTCTGATGACACGACGGTGGTAGGCCTGATTACCGATGACGATGAGACCGCCTATAGGGAGGATGTCAGTGACTTGGGAGTGTGGTGCCAGGACACCAATCTTTCCCTCAACGTCAGCAAGACAAAGGAGTTGATCGAGGAAACGGAGGGCCGAGCATGCCCCCATCCACATCGACAGGGCTGTAGTGGAGCGAGTCGACAGCTTCAAGTTCCTCGGTGTCCACATCACTAAGGAATTAACATGGTCCACACACCCTCAGGAGGCTGAAAGGATTTGGCATGGGCCCTCAGATCCTCAAAAAGTTCTACAGCTGCACCATTGAGAGCATCTTGACTGGTTGCATCACCGCTTCGTATGGCAACTGTTTGGCATTCGACCGCAAGGCGCTACAAAGGGTAGTGCCTACGGCCCAGTACATCACTGGGGCTGAGCTCCCTACTATCCAGGACATCTTTACCAGGCTGTGTCAGAGGAAGGCCCTGAAAATCGTCAAAAACTCCAGCCACACAAGTCATGGACTGTTCTCTCTGCTACCGCACGGCAAGTGGTACCGATGCACCAAGTCTGGAACCAACAGGACCCTGAGAACAGCTTCTACCCCCAAGCCATAAGACTGCTAAATAGTTAACCAAATAGCTACATGGACTATCTGCATTGACCCCCCTTTTGACTCATCACATACGCTACTGCTTATTTTTTATTTATCCTGTTGCCTTATCACTTTACCCCTACCTATATGTACATATCTACTTCAATTACCTCGTACCCCTGCACATCGACTCAGTACTGTGTATAAAGCCAAGTTATCTTTACTCATTGTGTATTTATTCCTTTTGTTATTATCTTTATATTATTTCTATTTTTCTCTCTGCATAGTTGGGAAGGGCCAGTAAGTAAGCATTTCACTGTTAGTCTACACCTCTTGTTCACAAAGCATGTGACAAATAAAATTAGATTTGATGTCCGGACACATGTCAGGGACAGAGAGTATCCCCCTGGGTGGGATACAATAACAGGTGTGAGTTACTAAGCAGTGGAAGCTGTGGTTATTGTAATGTTCTCCCCACGCTAGCAGACTGTTGGCATGTTTCTGGCTGTGCTGGCCAGCTGCTCATTCTGCTTTGCTGCTCTGGAGGGAAAAAGAGAGCATCCTGTGCCCCTCTGCAGCCCCTCTCTCTGCCTCCTGCACCCCTCCCATTTCTCCCCTCCCTCCACCACTGTCTCTGTCTGCTGCTCTCACTACAGGAGCCCCTCTGTGACAATGACCATGCTCTGTTTCTCTGTGGTCAGTCTTCTGCATGACCGTCCGTCACTCCTCCACTCCTCACACAGCCAGGACAGAGTGGAGAGGACAATACACAGGGGACTACACAGCATTCACCCTGCTATTGCTAAAACTGAGCACACTGGAAGGGTTTACATGGGAAAGATGGCAGAACTTTAAAAGCTGTGTGACTATTGAATGACAAGGGCTTTAACACACACACACAGACCTGTACCTTCTACAGTGAGGGAAAAAAGTATTTGATCCCCTGCTGATTTTGTACTTTTTCCCACTGACAAAGAAATGATCAGTCTATAATTTTAATGGTAGGTTTATTTGAACAGTGAGAGACAGAATAACAACAAAAAAATCTAGAAAAACGCATGTCAAAAATGTTATAAATTGATTTGCATTTTAATGAGGGAAATACGTTTTTGACCCCCTCTCAATCAGAAAGATTTCTGGCTCCCATGTGTCTTTTATACAGGTAATGAGCTGAGATTAGGAGCACACTCTTAAAGGGAGTGCTCCTAATCTCAGTTTGTTACCTGTATAAAAGACACCTGTCCACAGAAGCAATCAATCAGATTCCAAACTCTCCACCATGGCCAAGACCAAAGAGCTCTCCAAGGATGTCAGGGACAAGATTGTAGACCTACACAAGGCTGGAATGGGCTACAAGACCATCGCCAAGCAGCTTGGTGAGAAGGTGACAACAGTTGGTGCGAATATTCGCAAATGGAAGAAACACAAAATAACTGTCAATCTCCTTCGGCCTGGGGCTCCATGCAAGATCTCACCTCGTGGAGTTGCAATGATCATGAGAATGGTGAGGAATCAGCCCAGAACTACACGGGAGGATCTTGTCAATGATCTCAAGGCAGCTGGGACCATAGTCACCAAGAAAACAATTGGTAACACACTACGCCGTGAAAGACTGAAATCCTGCAGCGCCCGCAAGGTCCCCCTGCTCAAGAAAGCACATATACAGGGCCGTCTGAAGTTTGCCAATGAACATCTGAATGATTCAGAGGAGAACTGGGTGAAAGTGTTGTGGTCAGATGAGACCAAAATCGAGCTCTTTGGCATCAACTCAACTCGCTGTGTTTGGAGGAGGAGGAATGCTGCCTATGACCCCAAGAACACCATCCCCACCGTCAAACATGGAGGTGGAAACATTATACTTTGGGGGTGTTTTTCTGCTAAGGGGACAGGACAACTTCACCGCATCAAAGGGACGATGGACAGGGCCATGCACCGTCAAATCTTGGGTGAGAACCTCCTTCCCTCAGCCAGGGCATTGAAAATGGGTCGTGGATGGGTATTCTAGCATGACAATGACCCAAAACACACGGCCAAGGCAACAAAGGAGTGGCTCAAGAAGAAGCACATTAAGGTCCTGGAGTGGCCTAGCCAGTCTCCAGACCTTAATCCCATAGAAAATCTGTGGAGGGAGCTGAAGGTTCGAGTTGCCAAATGTCAGCCTCGAAACCTTAATGACTTGGAGAAGGTCTGCAAAGAGGTGTGGAACGAAATCCCTCCTGAGATGTATGCAAACCTGGTGGCCAGCTACAAGAAACGTCTGACCTCTGTGATTGCCAACAAGGGTTTTGCCACCAAGTACTAAGTCATGTTTTGCAGAGGGGTCAAATACTTATTTCCCTCATTAAAATGCGAATCAATTTATAACATTTTTGACATGCGTTTTTCTGGATTTTTTTGTTGTTATCCTGTCTCTCACTGTTCAAATAAACCTACCATTAAAATTATAGACTGATCATGTCTTTGCCAGTGGGCAAACGTACAAAATCAGCAGGGGATCAAATACTTTTTTCCCCTCACTGTATTTCGGAGTCTGGTGAGTTTTTATAGAATCCAAGCATGTCACATGGCTTCAGATTCACATGTCAAATCATACAGTTTCCCTCTCTCCAACTGTACTCATAGTAGGTTAGACATACACTCTACTGAGCTCTTTAACAGAGACATAGTCACACCATGGTAACAACACCCACCTCTCACCCAAGCCCCAAAACTGTTTTCAGTGTGTGAAAACCTCCAAACTACACCCCTTTGCCACCCTGCTAAAACAGTGTATGTATTGTAGGTCCACCAGCTTTTCCCTCTCTCTTTCCACACACACACACACACACACACACACACACACACACACACACACACACACACACACACACACACACACACACACACACTGTATTGCTGCAGCAACAGTGAAGGTACTCATATCAGGTCTAAACCCCACCTTTTGGTGAAGCCCTCTCTTCCTGATCCGCCGGGCACCTCCTGACCCACAGGACAGCACCAGCATGCAGAGCACCAACACCAGGGGCGTCCGGATGTGACAGCCAGGCATGGTCCTAACACTTTACTCCTCCTGCACTCCTCACTCTGTTTCTTCTCTCTTCTTCTGTCACTCTCTGTGGTCCTTGCTGTATCCTTCTTCCTTATTGTCCTGTTTTTCTATGTTCTCTCCTTTTCTCCAACACTGTGGTGTTCAGTCCAGTGCTTGGTATTCCTTATTGGGCCGGTGTTGAGGCAGGAGCTCCCGTGCTTGTGAAGCCAGCGATTACACAAGCTCTGCTATAGGACAAGTCTTTTTATCCGTCTGAGCAGGGGAAAATAAGAAGAAAGGAAAGGAAAGGAGGAGAAATAATTAATAGAGCCACTGTGGAGGGAAAAAGAAAGAGGGAGATAGTTAGGGGCGTCAAGGAGGGAAAGACAGCTGTCTGTGCATTAGTTATTCTGAGGAGAGGGTTAAATCGGTCTGCTGGCACGGCAAGCACATGTCTGCCTTTCACTGAGAGAGAGGGAAGGAGAGAGCGAGCGGGAGAAGGAGGAGGGAGCCCAAAGGAGGGAGGGGAGAGAACAGAAGACAGAGAGATGTAGAGAAATATTTATTTTGTAGGACCCTCCCCGTTGCCCCCCTGGGTCTGTAAATGCACATCTGCTGGAGAGAGAGAGAGAGAGGCTTGTCTGTCGCCATAATTTACAGCATGCTGCAGTAAAACGTTTCAGGGTATTTTAGTGTTGATAATACCCCAAATTATCGTATAATTTACAGTATTGTATGCATACATTTTACATAATGACGGACTTGTGGGAATATGAAATGCATGATATAGTGTAAGAAAGTATCTGGGAGTGCCATGACTATGCATTCCTGAGTAGGCTGTATGTTGAGAGGATGATGTAGACGTTCAACCAGAAAGAATAAAAGCATGTTGCGTGATCCAGAGAAGGGGCCACTTGTCTGTGAAATAGCATGTTCGCTCTCAAAGTAGGACATATCCCCTCACCCTTCTCACTCCCTAACTCCCCTCACCCCCCTGGCCCCCTCATTCCCGTATCCTGCATTGAAAGGGGGAAAGAATGCTAAGCCTGTACAAATCTTTGTCATTATTAGTTTTACAGGAGCAAGGCTTATGTCACAATGGGGCCCTAGCTATAGTAACACAAGAGAGAGAGAGAATAGAGAGAGGGAGAGACATGCTTGTCTGTTGCCAGCGGAGCCTGGATTGGGTATAAGTCAGGAAAAGTTGCTTTAAAGACATGGCCACAATCACCCCTGATGATGGGCTCGATAGCACAGGTAAGGTGATACAGTAGCTACAGTAATAACAGCAAAAACTATGGAGCAATGAACTACAACTATGGGAACATAACTCAGAGGCATAATGCAGGCAATATTTGGAGCTCAGATCAGCACGTGATTAAACTCTTTAGAGCACTCAAACTCATTCCACGGAGGGCCGAGTGTCTGCGGGTTTTCGCTCCTCCCTTTTCCTTGATTGATGAATTAAGGTCACTAATTAGTAAGGAACTCCCCCCAGGTCTTAATTGAAAGAAAAAAACAAAAACCAGCAGACAATATGCCCTCAATGGAATGAGTTTGACACCCTTGCTTTAGAGAATGGTTGTGTCATGTTGATTGTTGGTATAAGCCCATTATAATATCCCCATAATACAGCAGTGGTAGACTTGTTGAGTGGTGTTTATAGGACTGTTGATTATAGTGTCGTATCGGGTGAATGGTGGCAATTATTGCTGATGAACAAAGGAGTCCGCTCATACTGAACTTTGATCATAAGGTTTATTCATATCAAAAGCTTCAGCATAAGTGACAGATGACATGACATCCGGAGAGCGACGCCTCAGAATGGCCGCTCTGCCTTCTCCTTCGTTTAGCCCCTACTTATAAACAATGCAAAAAGATGGGCTCCCTCTTCTGGCCAATCACCAGTCTCCCCTGTCTACAACACACTTCCATCAGCTCCTTCTATTTGTTATGTTTTCCATGTTATGTAGCTATCATGCCTGTTAGTTAACACCTTGACCTGCACTCTAAACACGTAGAGTGATGAAGAACTGAAGGGTAAGTCAATAAGGGGGAAAAAGAGGGCAATGAACGTGATACACTGTCAAGGAAGTCTTACCTGCTTTAAACCCACACACATTCTCCACCTCACCTGAACAGTGGTGGTCTGTGATTTGCTCCAAAAGAGCTTGTGAAACACTTACATAATCAGATCTTTAATACAGCCATGGCTGTATTTCCATGTACCTATTGTGTGAACTACTTCCTGCAGGATGTCATAGGTCAAACTGGTTTATTCAGGTTTGTGGTCACTGTATGTGATGTGCAAATAACCATAGAGCTAAGGAGGCAGCATTTGTGGGTCTTTCCTCATATTTTCCTAGTGTTATTCCACAGAGGAGCTGCTCTGGCTCAGCAGCAGATACAGTGAGGTCCGGTTTCCAGTTGCAGTTGAGCTAGCCTACTGTACAGGGCCAACCACACAATGTTCTCCCCACGCTAGCAGACTGTTGGCATGTTTCTGGCTGTGCTGGCCAGCTGCTCATTCTGCTTTGCTGCTCTGGAGGGAAAAAGAGAGCATCCTGTGCCCCTCTGCAGCCCCTCTCTCTGCCTCCTGCACCCCTCCCATTTCTCCCCTCCCTCCACCACTGTCTCTGTCTGCTGCTCTCACTACAGGAGCCCCTCTGTGACAATGACCATGCTCTGTTTCTCTGTGGTCAGTCTTCTGCATGACCGTCCGTCACTCCTCCACTCCTCACACAGCCAGGACAGAGTGGAGAGGACAATACACAGGGGACTACACAGCATTCACCCTGCTATTGCTAAAACTGAGCACACTGGAAGGGTTTACATGGGAAAGATGGCAGAACTTTAAAAGCTGTGTGACTATTGAATGACAAGGGCTTTAACACACACACACAGACCTGTACCTTCTACAGTGAGGGAAAAAAGTATTTGATCCCCTGCTGATTTTGTACTTTTTCCCACTGACAAAGAAATGATCAGTCTATAATTTTAATGGTAGGTTTATTTGAACAGTGAGAGACAGAATAACAACAAAAAAATCTAGAAAAACGCATGTCAAAAATGTTATAAATTGATTTGCATTTTAATGAGGGAAATACGTTTTTGACCCCCTCTCAATCAGAAAGATTTCTGGCTCCCATGTGTCTTTTATACAGGTAATGAGCTGAGATTAGGAGCACACTCTTAAAGGGAGTGCTCCTAATCTCAGTTTGTTACCTGTATAAAAGACACCTGTCCACAGAAGCAATCAATCAGATTCCAAACTCTCCACCATGGCCAAGACCAAAGAGCTCTCCAAGGATGTCAGGGACAAGATTGTAGACCTACACAAGGCTGGAATGGGCTACAAGACCATCGCCAAGCAGCTTGGTGAGAAGGTGACAACAGTTGGTGCGAATATTCGCAAATGGAAGAAACACAAAATAACTGTCAATCTCCTTCGGCCTGGGGCTCCATGCAAGATCTCACCTCGTGGAGTTGCAATGATCATGAGAATGGTGAGGAATCAGCCCAGAACTACACGGGAGGATCTTGTCAATGATCTCAAGGCAGCTGGGACCATAGTCACCAAGAAAACAATTGGTAACACACTACGCCGTGAAAGACTGAAATCCTGCAGCGCCCGCAAGGTCCCCCTGCTCAAGAAAGCACATATACAGGGCCGTCTGAAGTTTGCCAATGAACATCTGAATGATTCAGAGGAGAACTGGGTGAAAGTGTTGTGGTCAGATGAGACCAAAATCGAGCTCTTTGGCATCAACTCAACTCGCTGTGTTTGGAGGAGGAGGAATGCTGCCTATGACCCCAAGAACACCATCCCCACCGTCAAACATGGAGGTGGAAACATTATACTTTGGGGGTGTTTTTCTGCTAAGGGGACAGGACAACTTCACCGCATCAAAGGGACGATGGACAGGGCCATGCACCGTCAAATCTTGGGTGAGAACCTCCTTCCCTCAGCCAGGGCATTGAAAATGGGTCGTGGATGGGTATTCTAGCATGACAATGACCCAAAACACACGGCCAAGGCAACAAAGGAGTGGCTCAAGAAGAAGCACATTAAGGTCCTGGAGTGGCCTAGCCAGTCTCCAGACCTTAATCCCATAGAAAATCTGTGGAGGGAGCTGAAGGTTCGAGTTGCCAAATGTCAGCCTCGAAACCTTAATGACTTGGAGAAGGTCTGCAAAGAGGTGTGGAACGAAATCCCTCCTGAGATGTATGCAAACCTGGTGGCCAGCTACAAGAAACGTCTGACCTCTGTGATTGCCAACAAGGGTTTTGCCACCAAGTACTAAGTCATGTTTTGCAGAGGGGTCAAATACTTATTTCCCTCATTAAAATGCGAATCAATTTATAACATTTTTGACATGCGTTTTTCTGGATTTTTTTGTTGTTATCCTGTCTCTCACTGTTCAAATAAACCTACCATTAAAATTATAGACTGATCATGTCTTTGCCAGTGGGCAAACGTACAAAATCAGCAGGGGATCAAATACTTTTTTCCCCTCACTGTATTTCGGAGTCTGGTGAGTTTTTATAGAATCCAAGCATGTCACATGGCTTCAGATTCACATGTCAAATCATACAGTTTCCCTCTCTCCAACTGTACTCATAGTAGGTTAGACATACACTCTACTGAGCTCTTTAACAGAGACATAGTCACACCATGGTAACAACACCCACCTCTCACCCAAGCCCCAAAACTGTTTTCAGTGTGTGAAAACCTCCAAACTACACCCCTTTGCCACCCTGCTAAAACAGTGTATGTATTGTAGGTCCACCAGCTTTTCCCTCTCTCTTTCCACACACACACACACACACACACACACACACACACACACACACACACACACACACACACACACACACACACACACACACACACACACACTGTATTGCTGCAGCAACAGTGAAGGTACTCATATCAGGTCTAAACCCCACCTTTTGGTGAAGCCCTCTCTTCCTGATCCGCCGGGCACCTCCTGACCCACAGGACAGCACCAGCATGCAGAGCACCAACACCAGGGGCGTCCGGATGTGACAGCCAGGCATGGTCCTAACACTTTACTCCTCCTGCACTCCTCACTCTGTTTCTTCTCTCTTCTTCTGTCACTCTCTGTGGTCCTTGCTGTATCCTTCTTCCTTATTGTCCTGTTTTTCTATGTTCTCTCCTTTTCTCCAACACTGTGGTGTTCAGTCCAGTGCTTGGTATTCCTTATTGGGCCGGTGTTGAGGCAGGAGCTCCCGTGCTTGTGAAGCCAGCGATTACACAAGCTCTGCTATAGGACAAGTCTTTTTATCCGTCTGAGCAGGGGAAAATAAGAAGAAAGGAAAGGAAAGGAGGAGAAATAATTAATAGAGCCACTGTGGAGGGAAAAAGAAAGAGGGAGATAGTTAGGGGCGTCAAGGAGGGAAAGACAGCTGTCTGTGCATTAGTTATTCTGAGGAGAGGGTTAAATCGGTCTGCTGGCACGGCAAGCACATGTCTGCCTTTCACTGAGAGAGAGGGAAGGAGAGAGCGAGCGGGAGAAGGAGGAGGGAGCCCAAAGGAGGGAGGGGAGAGAACAGAAGACAGAGAGATGTAGAGAAATATTTATTTTGTAGGACCCTCCCCGTTGCCCCCCTGGGTCTGTAAATGCACATCTGCTGGAGAGAGAGAGAGAGAGGCTTGTCTGTCGCCATAATTTACAGCATGCTGCAGTAAAACGTTTCAGGGTATTTTAGTGTTGATAATACCCCAAATTATCGTATAATTTACAGTATTGTATGCATACATTTTACATAATGACGGACTTGTGGGAATATGAAATGCATGATATAGTGTAAGAAAGTATCTGGGAGTGCCATGACTATGCATTCCTGAGTAGGCTGTATGTTGAGAGGATGATGTAGACGTTCAACCAGAAAGAATAAAAGCATGTTGCGTGATCCAGAGAAGGGGCCACTTGTCTGTGAAATAGCATGTTCGCTCTCAAAGTAGGACATATCCCCTCACCCTTCTCACTCCCTAACTCCCCTCACCCCCCTGGCCCCCTCATTCCCGTATCCTGCATTGAAAGGGGGAAAGAATGCTAAGCCTGTACAAATCTTTGTCATTATTAGTTTTACAGGAGCAAGGCTTATGTCACAATGGGGCCCTAGCTATAGTAACACAAGAGAGAGAGAGAATAGAGAGAGGGAGAGACATGCTTGTCTGTTGCCAGCGGAGCCTGGATTGGGTATAAGTCAGGAAAAGTTGCTTTAAAGACATGGCCACAATCACCCCTGATGATGGGCTCGATAGCACAGGTAAGGTGATACAGTAGCTACAGTAATAACAGCAAAAACTATGGAGCAATGAACTACAACTATGGGAACATAACTCAGAGGCATAATGCAGGCAATATTTGGAGCTCAGATCAGCACGTGATTAAACTCTTTAGAGCACTCAAACTCATTCCACGGAGGGCCGAGTGTCTGCGGGTTTTCGCTCCTCCCTTTTCCTTGATTGATGAATTAAGGTCACTAATTAGTAAGGAACTCCCCCCAGGTCTTAATTGAAAGAAAAAAACAAAAACCAGCAGACAATATGCCCTCAATGGAATGAGTTTGACACCCTTGCTTTAGAGAATGGTTGTGTCATGTTGATTGTTGGTATAAGCCCATTATAATATCCCCATAATACAGCAGTGGTAGACTTGTTGAGTGGTGTTTATAGGACTGTTGATTATAGTGTCGTATCGGGTGAATGGTGGCAATTATTGCTGATGAACAAAGGAGTCCGCTCATACTGAACTTTGATCATAAGGTTTATTCATATCAAAAGCTTCAGCATAAGTGACAGATGACATGACATCCGGAGAGCGACGCCTCAGAATGGCCGCTCTGCCTTCTCCTTCGTTTAGCCCCTACTTATAAACAATGCAAAAAGATGGGCTCCCTCTTCTGGCCAATCACCAGTCTCCCCTGTCTACAACACACTTCCTGTCTGTTGTATGTGGCGTTACACTAAAACATTCCCTCTTGATACTAAAATCAACATTCTTTCAGTTCCACTTAAAAACATTTAACAAAGGCATAATCCCAATACACGACAATAGCCAGTCTAGATACAGCTCTGTGTTAGACATGTGGCTGTGCTCCATGCAGACAGCAGTCAGTCTCATTTCTGCACTGTGGGGTTAGGGGGTCACCCATCACTGTCACTACCACCCCAGACTGCCCCACCTTCCCCCACACATCCCTCACCCCCCGTGGGACAGCTGCAGCCCCCTGAACGCCTGGATGCCTGGCCCTTCCTCCCCTGGAGCCAACAGCTGCATGGAGCTAGAAAAAAACACATCTCTGTGTCCTGTCCACCCACCAGCCTAAACCCCAGTACACCCCTCTCTCTACCACCCTAGACTACCACCAGCACAACACTTTGTCATGATCCTCCCCTTCTACAGCAAGGATACTGAGGAACTTGACTCAGAGAAGCTTGACACAAAGCCTGGGTGCCCCTTCACATGAAACAGGACCTGACTATGTTGTGTGTGTCTGTGTTTGTTACAACAAGCTCGCACAGTCTCACATCAGAATTAGATGTTCATCCATATTTCTCAAATGTCAAATTTCAAAGTTGTTCCAAACGTCAAATTTCAAAGTGTTTAAAGCAGGTTAAAAGGCATTAACTCTGCATTTTTAAGGGTTAAGTTTAGGCATTAACTCCAAAATCTTAAGGTTAGGCATTAACTCCGAATGGTAACGGTTAGGTTTGGGATAGGCTTAAAACTAAAATCTCAAAAACAACTTTCTATCACTGGATTTGAACATGCAACCTTTGAGACCAGAGGTAGATGCTCACACCCATCTACCATCAGTGGTGTGAAGTACTTAAATAAAAATACTTTAAAGTACTACTTAAGTCATTTTTTGTTGGATCTGTGCTTTACTTTACTATTTATATTTTTGACAACTTTTACTTTTACGTCACTACATTCCTAAAGAAAATAATGTAATTTTTACTACATACATTTGATACCCAAAAGTGCTCGTTACATTTTGAATGCTTAGCAGGACAGAAAATTGTCCAATTCACACACTTATCAAGAGAACATCTCTGGTCATCCCCACTGCCTCTGATCTGGCAGACTCACTAAACACAAATGCTTTGTTTGTAAATTATGTCTGAGGGTTGGAGTGGGCACCTGGCTATCCTTAAATAAATAAAAAACAAGAAAATTGTGCCATCTGGTTTTCTTAATATAAGGAATTTTTAGTTATTTGTACTTTTACTTTTGATACTTAAGTTTATTTTAGCAATTACATTTACTTTTGATACTTAAGTATATTTAAAACCAAATACTTTTAGACTTTTACTCAAGTAGTATTTTTCTGGGTGACTTTTACTTGAGTCATTTTCTATTAAGGTATCTTTACGTTTACTCAAGTATGACAATTGGGTACTTTTTCCACCACTGGCTACCATCCCTGCCAACAACACCCTAGCAAAACCGAAACCTACTTGAAGGTAACAGCGCTCACTGTTGCCCCTAGTGGCCGGTTTCGTTGTCATCTCCCGACATCCTCAGACATGGATGAATGACGAATACTGACTTGTATCACGGTGACCTGGCTAATTGTTATACATTCTTATAGTGTCTTGTTGCACAGTATGATTGTAGCCTATATGTCCCTTGGGGCAGTGGGCTGTTTAAAGGTACAGTGTGACCATATTGGTTTTCCTTACGCCTGTCTTTCCCACGTGGTGTAGAGAGATACTGCACACAGATTCTTTGATGCATGCTGATAAAGAGCGGCTACACACACACACAACCACACAACCTGACCTGTACCTTCTATTTTGGAGTCTGGTGAGAGTTTTTATAGAATCTAAGCATGTCACATTCCTTTGATCTGAGGCAGTGTTCTCTGGAGATTGGGAAGTTTCTGTTAGAGGGGAGAGGGCTTTCTGCACACATCACATGCTTCTTTCCAACCATGGTGGATAGCAGATCTCAGTGTGCTGCTGCTCTAATGCAGGCCAGCTGGACAGTGGAGGCACCTCAGAGGAGGAAAGGGAGGACCATCCCACTCAGTGAATTTCATAAAAATAAAAATAGTGAAACATTAAAAAAGTTATCATTTTTAGATAAAACTATACTAAATATATTCACGTCACCAAATAATTGATTAAACACCCTGTTTTGCAATGAAGGTCTACAGTAGCCTCAGCAGCACACTGTAGGGTAGCACCATGGTGTAGCTGGAGGACAGCTAGCTTCTGTCCTCTTCTGGGTACATTGACTTCAATACAAAACCTGGGAGGCTCATGGTTCTCACCCCCTTCCATAGACTTACACAGTAATTATGACAACTTCCGATGACTTCCTCCAACCTATCAGAGCTCTTGCAGCATGAACTGACATGTTGTCCACCCAATCAAAGCATCAGAGAATTAATCTTCTGAAAGCATAAGCTACAGCTAGCTAGCACTGCAGTGCATAAAATGTGGTGAGTAGTTGACTCAAAGAGAAAGACAATAGTTGAACAGTTTTTAACAAATACTTTTCTTCCAAAATTAAGGAGACGTAAGAGAGAAAGAGAGCGCGAGCGAGCTATATTTGATTGCATTTTTTAAAACTTTCACATAGCTAGCAAATGCAGCTAGCTAGTTTAGCCTACTCAAACACCCAGCTCAAACAGAGAGGGATGCTATGTTAGCTAGCTGGCTATGGCTATCCAATGCTGGAACTCTTCCAAGTCAAGGTAAGCTTTTATTAAATTATTGACATAAGGCCTGCTGGTGTAACTGCTAAACTGCTTTCTGACTGTACACTGTACTGCATGATTGTAGCGGGTTTACTAACATGTTAGTTCTAAGAGTTCTAGTTGACTATGACGTGACAATGATGTAGGCTATGTGTAATGGTTAGCGGTCATGATATGAAGGTTTGGCTTGTAAAAGTTTTTTTGCCTGATCATAGACAGCTGATGTGTTGTGTTCTGAAATCCACAAGCAAAGCGAAAAGGTGAGAAGAGGAGAGCACGTAGATAATTGCGGGAAGGAATTATATATACATAGAGGAAAGTGATCATGCTGTTTTTATGTGGCTGCTATGAAAGTGAACTGTTTGCGTGTGATCAGGGGTGTATTCATTCCACCGATTCTGTTGAGAAACGTTTCTTAAACGGAAGCAAATGGAACGAAACAGGGATAAACATACCTGAATTTGTCCAAGAGTGTGCAGGCTGTATTGAATGTGTCACTGTCTGTCACCTTGATTACTCAAAATTCTCTCGACCTTTGCACTTACAGTACCAGTCCAAAGTTTGGACACACCTATTCATTCAAGGGTTTTTCTTTATTTGGACTATTTTCTACCTTGTAGAATAATAGTGAAGACATTCATACTCCCGAGTGGCGCAGTGGTCTAAGGCACTGCATCGCAGTGCTAGCTGTGCCACTAGAGATCCTGGTTTGAGTCCAGGCTCTGTCGCAGCCGGCCGCGACCGGGAGACCCATGGGCGGTGCACAATTCGTCCAAGGTAGGGGAGGGTTTGGCTGGCAGGGATGTCGGTTTGTTTCCCACGGGGGGCCAGTATGAATAAAAAACACAAACATAAAAAA